ATAGAATCTACAGTAAAGCTAAGTTATTGTCCATTTTTGCATGAAGCATTTATAGACACAGACAATCAAAAACACATTTAGAACAGTGTGGTCTATGTACTCACTAACTGCTATGCAAGACATTTCAGAATTTGTGAAAGTGAAGTTAAGTTTAAATTTACTGCAGCCCTGTTTTGTCACGATAAAAGCGTAAGAATGGAAAATGACTCTTGGAAACTTGTCAGAGTCTTCCCAATCCCTTAAGGAAAGGGGAAAGTTGTGGCATTTTATTTACTCCATGTAAAAGTTGCATTAAAATAAAAATGTATTCGGAAAATTTTGTATTGTTTCCCAAAATTCTTATCCCCCTGCTCCACCTTTTCTCATTGACAGTCACATCAGTAAATGTTTGTCCTCCGGCTACTTTTTTAATTTCCCCGCCTACTTGAAAAATTAGTCAGTGAATAACGAAAACAGGGGTTAACTCAATTATGTACTTAGTCAGCTCAGTATGGTTTAGTCATTCGTCTCATTTAGAATTTAGTTACTTAATGAATTCAAAGTCCGGAGCATATTAATTTGTATTGATTTATGTTACTTTAATGATTACTTAACTGCTTTTAAAAATCACTGTATTAGTAATGAAACCCCGCTGTCTCATCAACATACAGCCTTAAGCTAAAAAAAAATTAGCTAATCATAGACTCATTTTGCTATCACGATGTCTGTGGAAGCCTCTCATTTTCAAAACAGTGGTGGTTCTCAATTCACTCACCGATATTTTCTAGACGGAGGGTAATATGAAAGAACTACTTCTAATTTTTCACTCAATAACAGTGATACTTCTCGTTTCAGAAAGTCACGTTATTTCTTCAGCTATAATCGATGTCCGTTCACAGTTAAAGTACAATTATATCTCATTGCACACAAATAAGCAAAACGAAGAGATATTAAAGAAAATGATTAAAACATGGCAAAAAAATGTATCTATGAGATTTTTTAACATTTGCTGCCTTTGTTTTCCTGATTTTTGAGGCGCCATAATTATTTCATGCTTCTTTGTGTGCAGGCGCAGATTCTTCAAGTCGTTTTTGGGGTTAGTGTCCTTCATGACCCCGGACGCAATCCTACAGAGTGGACACACATTAAAGAGTTCTTGCTTTGTCCAGGGTCGATAACAATGACAAGTTTCAAGTGGGCAAACATATGACGACAGTGATCTCTGCATACAGCTCAGGGAGACATCAAGGGCATTCTTAGCTTTGAACTATCTTTTTGCAGTTCCTTGTTTCTTTGCCAAATAATTATGACAATAATAATAATAATGATAGTAATAATAATAGTAATAACAATAATGAGATGAAAGATAATAACATTGATATATAGTAACAATTCTATCAATAGTGATAATAAAAGGTACAATTATGATGATAGATAACATGTTTGTTTGTTTTTGTTTTTCCTCAGTAAATATATATGAAGTCTCGCAAAACCTCCTGGCATTTGTCTTATAAAAGAATGCCTTTGAACGAGATCATGTTTTCAGGATCACCTTGTTATGATCCTCTCCTTTAACAAGATGATAGCTGTACTTGGCCACACATCCGTAGCCGTCCTAGCCACACTTAAACACCTCTAGCCATCCTTAGCTGTACCTAGCCACCCTTAGCCATCCTTAGTCATCCTTAGCCGTTCTTAAGTATCCCTCGCCATCCTTAAGCATCCCTAGCCATCCTTAAGCATCCCTAGCCATCCTTGGCCGTACTTAAGCATCCCTAGCCATCCTTGGCCCTACGTAAGTATCTCTAGTCATCTCTAGCTGCCCTTAATGCATCCCTAGCCATCCTTAGCCATACTCAAGTATCCTTAGCCATCCTTAGCTGTCCTTAAGCATCACTAGCGATCTTAGCCGTCCCTATGCATCCTTAGCCAAACTTAACCGTCCTTAAACGTCCTTAGTCACACTTAGCCGTACTTAAGCATGCCTTGCCATACTTAGCCATACTTTAGCATTTCTAGACATCTGATGACACATTTACTGAGCAGTGTAAGCTCTGAGGCCTACCTATTTGCCTCTGTATGTATATTTTAAACAATTTCGGTTATCGTTAGTGACTGTTAATACAACAGTCCCAGTAAATATCAGCTGAAATATATTATTTTGTTGAAAAATACTTTCAACTAACGTTGGGGGTTAAAATGAGATCAAAATATGACTACTTGCTTTTTAATTGTTTGCTGGAAACGTATGTCCCAATTCAGTGGCGAATCTAGCGGAGGGGTCTGGAGGGGGTCACCTCCCCCTTATTTTGGGTAAAAATATATTGTTTCTCACCCCCCCCCCCAGCTCAAGGTCTGGATCCGCCACTGTAATTACCCAGTCTCGCTTGAAAGAAGCAAGCTTACTAGAAGCTACCTGTTATTTAAACGAAGTCATTAAGTGAAGTGCCATAGACTCAAACTTGAACCCTGATATATTATGACAATTTTTTGTTTTACCTTATTAAATGATTGTAAACAATAAGAAAAACTCTAACGTATGGGTTCCCGAAATATGAAACTTGATTTATAGGGAAACTTAACGAACGGCGATGGCAATGGCAGCTACATTCTCACAAATAAAAGTGATATGATTGTTTTAATTAGGTAAAAGAATCGTGCTGAAATTTTTTTAGACGCAGTAAATCTTTTATTCTTTGCCTCTACATGTAAACCATTTGTGTCAATCAAGTGAAAGAATGCTTCCGCAAACTCGCACAAGGATAAAAAGAAAGGAAGTTATGATTAAAGTAATAACCAACAACTCCTTCTTATCAAAATAATTGATTGGCCGTAATTGCAACACAGCACAAAGGACACCTGAGAATAGAACCCGGAATAAGAATATAAATATTGTTTGAGACTATTCTGTTGATTATTTGGCTTGGACATAAAGTTTACTCCGATTCTCACACAGTCTGATATTCTTTCTATAGAACGACACTGATGATCCCTTACCCTCCATATCATCCTTAATTTTTAACACGTAGAATTCCTTACATAAGTACGTTTATGTTTCTCCATTCAAGGGATAACCCCAACTATTTTCACGATAAGTCCTTTACACGCCTAAGATTCCAGAAATTCTAGTTCTTTTTATGTGATCCAAAGCCTTAGCGTGAGGCGATTCATTTCCGTTTACATGAACCCAAATTCTTTAAATCCCTTACTCATGAGGATAAAATTCTACAGAAAAGTATTAAGTTTGTTTTAACACTCTTGCACTCTTGGAAAATTTGTTGAATTCAATGCACACAATCTTATGAAATAAATGTTCACAAAAAAGTAACCAATTGAAAGGAAAGTATTGCGTCATTCGTCATACGTGGAGCATACAAAAATGAAATTGGTATGCAATATCATTGGCGCTTGGAACAGTCCTCTTTGAGAACGTTTGAGAATATCTTTGAATACTATCTATCAATGTTTTTCAATTATGCGGGGAAACAAAAAGAAAACATAATAAATTTAGATGAACATTGAAAACAAAATGAAAGGAAGCTATACCTGTTTTTTTTTTTTTNCTTATTCTCAATGGCATTTGCAATACGAGATACACAGCTTCTTCAGCGCTAATTTCAACTGCATTAAGAAATTTGTTTCCAATGTGCCTTACTCTATTTGCGATGTCTTTATTTCCAGAATTAGCTTCTTCCGATGCTCTTTTTAGGAGTCTGCTCCTACCTCTTTGCCCTTTTGTAATATAAGACAGTATGTATGTAGCACATACATCAGGATCCTGTACATATTGTATGTCCATGTTTGCTTGCCAGGCTTTAAGTAAATTAGTGTTCTAACTATTGATCCTTAATTTCGATGGTGCCCTTTTGAAAAATAATGCGTCACGCATTAATGTGTATTTTATAGCCAAGATGTAACTTTCCTCAGCCAATTACAATTTGCTGAGAAAATCTTCAAAACTGATTGCTTGACTGTATTTCATGTTGTCAAGAACTTCTTTTATTTGCTCAGCATTTTCTTTGGTCATTTTCTTGTTCTCCTCATCAAAGCAGAGATGTCAAGAGGTGTTAAAGTTATTGTTCTTGGCATTGGTGGCAATGGGAAGTTGAATCTACATATCTTATGCCCTGCCTTCTTACATGGGTAAGCATGTCTGCGCATTTCTAAATTCACAAGCTCTTCCATTTCACTTGAACTGTTTGATTTGTGACAAGTGATATACTTATCAACAGAGGTGACAACTTCTTCATTAGAACTTTTTTGATACTGTGGGGCTTCCTTTAACCAAAATAGACCATGGATATATGGGCTTCTTCTTTGTTGAAACTAAACTCTGTAAAAATAATCAGCTATTTCTCCTATTGACATTGCAGTGCTCTTTAAGACATCACGAATATATAACTGAACCATGTGCTCAAGGTTTCTTGCACAAGTGACCGGATCTTATTGTATCAAATCTGATGTTTATTCCCGTGTCATTTGTTTGATTTTCTCATACTTTTGCCTCTCTACAACTATACCTAAATTTTACGAAGATGAGTCCACAAACAGTAATTCAAGGTTTAAATAGCGCCTGCAAACGTTAATTTGAATTTTATAAAGCATTTTTCAGATGATAATCAAATTGTAAGTGTAAGTTACATTCCTAGTGGTCGAGGGCTTGCTTTTTAGGGCTGTCAGTTAAACACGTCGCGATCTTAACCTATCTGCATGTTTTATCGAATGCGCTTTCTTAGTCTGACTTATGAAGCCCACACGTGCCTTGCTTCAAAACCTAATTGGCTAGTTGCAGTTGTTATAAGTCTTTCTTTTTACTTGCGCCTAGTTTTTCGACGGTCATTTGGAATCTGCTTTGCTGCAGACGAACAATTGCAAATGACTGTATGCGCACTAAATGACAAACTCTGTCTTTCCCGTCGGAAGACAGCGCATGCGCCTGGCAGTGATCTACGCAATGGCTTTTCTCGATAACGTGCAGCTTGCAATCGGTCTCAAGGTATACCTTGGTTAATCGGAGCCTTTTAACAGTGCTGTTCATCCATTAAATAGACATGCCTGAATATACAATGAAAAACTATGACCAATATTAATCAAACCTAGTTACTACCATGCACGTTTGGTCAGTTTCAAAACAAATGACAAATTTGAGAAATTGCAATCACCTAGTGACCCGATAGTATGGGCGGCTTCCAAAGCGTCAAAGGCTAACGAACCCTCACTTGTCACGATATCCAGGGCTGAGAGGCTCTTCCTTTTTTCGATGCGCCACACATCTGTTAAAAGATTATATAGAACGATACGGCAACGAAAAGGCTAATCCACATATGTTGGTCCTACCTGTCAACACTGTGAGAGAAAAAAACACGAAAAGGTGTATGATAAACAAGTAGATTGTACAGGGTTACTTACTTTAGGCACAGTGAAAAGGGTTGATCCTGCGAGTGGTTCAAACTCCATTTCTCCGTAGTAGTTCTGGTATAGTGCAACCAAACGGGAGCTTAGCACAGTGCGCACCACGTTTGGGATCTGTAACACCTCACCAGTTGAAATTTGTAGCTTTTTGGTTCCGTACGCCACATCTTGAATATAATAAGGTAACTGATGGAGTCCAAAAAGGGGTAAAGCTTCTGGCCGTCGAGCCTGTAGCGAACCACAGATTGCCGCTTTTCAGTCATACCAGCTCCAACCACTGCCACGTGCTTCCTTTCCTGGTCTATCCACCATGTGGTTGGACCTGGTATCATTTGCTGTAGCTGCGATCTCGTGTAATGCAAGATGAAAACGGAAAGTACTGTCATCTTTGTATGTCACGAGGTCGATTCTTCATAGGGGGAAATCAGCTCCTTTATCCACCTTGTCGCCAGGACTTTCGTCCTCTGGTCCTGCGATCTAGGATAGGATAGGATAGGATAACTTTATTTATACACGGTTTTTCCATCAATTGATTTAGTTAATTCTATAGTAGAAACCTATCTATCTAACTACAATAATAATTTGATAATAACAATTCAAAAAAAAGAAATAAATAAAAAATTATGCTTTTCATGGAGGCCGTGTCTAACATTTACTTAGAATTAAGATCTTACTTTAAACTGTGGAGACTTAATTTAGATTTAAAATCAGTCAGCGAAGACGCTTGTCTTAGGTCTATAGGTAAGTTTTTCCACAATTGAACTCCACTGTACAAAAAACTTCTCTTGAGATAGTCAGTTCGAGGTTGGGGAAGAACTAATTTGTTTTCGGTATTCCTTAAACGATACGCACTTACACTGTCACGATATACAAATCTTGATCTCAGATAATCAGGTGTCCTACCATATGTAATGTTTTATACATTAGGATAGATTTCTGTTCCAATCTTTGATAGTGGAGTTTTCGCCACCCTAGCGCCCGGAACAAATCATCCAAATTACTATCATAACTCGCTGACATTAGGATACGAGTTGGCCGCTTTTGCAGCCTTTGTAGTTTTTCAGAAAGGCCTTTGTTACAGTTTCCCCACACTACGTTACAATAATCAAAATGTGGTTGAATAAGGTTATTATAAACTTTAATTAAAACATTAAATGGAGTGAGATGCCGAATTCGTTTAATCGCACGAATGGCACAAGCTATCTTCTTAGAGATGTTTTCAATATGACACTTCCAATTTATATTTTGATCGACATAAACTCCAAGGGATTTAGCGGAGGTTACTTGTTCGATTGCGTTTTCGTTTATAAAAAGAGAGGGACTTTCCGTAAATTGTGATAACTTCTGATTTGATGCAATAAGCATGAACTCAGTTTTTGTCATATTCAAGGTAAGTTTGTTAGCAGAGAGCCATTCGTACACATTGCTCAGGTCGTGATTAAGGCAATAATTTATATGCTCGACGTCAGTACTGGCAAACGTCAGGCTGGTATCATCTGCATACACTCTAGGTTCAGAATATGTCAAACAATGTGGTAAGTCGTTAATATATATCAAAAATAAAAGAGGTCCCAAAACTGTTCCCTGGGGAACACCACATCTCAGACATTTCGGAGTTGACTTACAAGAGTTTAAATGACAAATCTGTGTTCAGTTATCTAAATAAGAAGCAAACCATTGATGGCCGGTCTGACAAATTCCATAGTATTGCAGTTTTCGGTCTGAACGGTAACAAGATCAAACAATTATTTCGACTGCCCAGGAGAAAAGCAGTTAAGGCTGGCGGTGATCACTTATGCTCCCTTATGCTTTATGTAATACTGCGTACTCTTTGCACACTCAACAAGTGGTCGAGTAAGCTGGAATCGGATTTGGCTGACCCTTCCATCTGTTAACATGCTGATATTTCTATTTAGTGCTTCTAAACTGAAGTGCTCTCTTCCCAAAGGAGGAGGCATGTAATCCGACTCTTCATCGTCCTCAACAACCAGCTGCGACATTTTTTCTTCTAACACAGAAAGGCCAGGAAGCTCCAGTTCCTCCCTTTACATACCTGGTCGGTTCCTAAAAAGTTACCTGTATGTTAGAGACGGATCGTTATATTTCTAGTAGGGGATGAAAACAAATTTTGATTGCTAACAATTCATTTTGGTTTATTGCCCGTGCAAATAATTTATTTCAGTGCTTAACGCTCTGTTAACAATTCTTTTCAAAAGTTTTCAGCTTCCCCCTCCATTACCCTCAAACTTTGGGGGTGACTAATGAACCATCCCTTATACTATTGGGGAAGAAATTCGGGTGCCCTATAACACTACAAACATGTACAACCGGCATTGTTTTGGTCATTCTAATATTGGATGTAATCGCGCAACGCAGGAACATTTTTTAATTACCGATAGTTGGACAGAAATAAGTCCTCTTTTATTCCAACCAAGCCTTCATAAAAAGTACATCCGTAATGCTTTGCGCGCCTCGACACTGTTGATGATCACGTGCTTTTAAATTGTTTTATATTTATCTAGGCGGTCGTACATAATCAATTTTTTGTTGCAGGTGCAGCATTTAAAATACTCTCTTCAGGGATATGTCCTCTTCCTGGTGTTTTTCAAAACACTCGGCAGTAGGAGTCCCCCATCAAAATGAAATTTCTTCATTCAATGTGAAAATAGGGTGTGTCGTGGGAACGCAGTCAAATATTATCCTTCACCTTTCACCTTCTTCGGGTATCTAAAAGGTTTCAACGATCATTTCTTTTCTTGTAATCACAACAACCATGCTTTGAGCGCATAAATGTAGACTGTTAGGGACGGACCATTACTTCTCTTAGGGCGGGCTGGAGAGACAAAAATTGTTTTGCATGCAAACAACTTATTTCCTTTTTGCAGCAGCAAACAATTCTATTTTGGGGGTGAGGACTATGTACAATTTATTTCTGTTCTTTGCGCTTGCAAATAACTCATTTCAGTATTTACGGTTTTGCAAACAATTGATTTCGAAATTTTTCATTCCCTCGCCCCACTTGCAAATAGAGTATAGTGTACATTCGAGTGGCACTCGCTGCCAGGACTTCTCGAAATGAAAACCTTCTGTGAAATGCTGCCTTATTGTTGCATAAAGGCCTAAAGCTAAATTTATTGGGATCACTACCGGTTTAGAAAGGCACTAATATTTTAATTTCACAGTATTGTATCTGTTTATCAGTGGTTGTCTCCTCGGAGCAGCGCACTGTCTCGCTGTAATTAGATAAACATTTCCTACATATCCCTAGAAAACCAAAATAATAATACTATTTTAACTCGTGCTATGTTCGTTATAAAATGTAGCCGGTATTCCAACACAACATTATTACAATGAGTTACCTTGTCCAGTCTCGCAAAGTACACCGAAGTGCAAATATATTTTTCTCGACATCTC